GAAGTGAATTCCCATAAAAATAGTGAAACAATAGTTTTCAAGCTTTAAAGACTTCATTCATGACACGAAAATAAAGACATAAATGAAACAGAACACATGCAAGTTTTCAAGCTTCAATTGCTAAAAGGGCGTCAAGATGTTGTTCTTATTTTCAGTTCTCCTAAAATGGAAAGATATAAATGAAACAACAATTCATCAAAAGACAAAAACTTTAACCACCAAAGTACAATCACCGAGGCATGGTGTACAATTAAAAATATACACTTCACCCACTTTTTTTGAGGTATATCCAGAATTTAATTCACAAGCTCAGTCACACTTGCACAGCTACTCGTATCAAATAAATAAGATTCACAAGTTGAAAAAGACTACAAATTTCCATGTGCAACAGCAAAAACCCTTTCGACATTAAATGAACACAAAGCACAAAACATTAAATACAGAGACAGAGACCACAAAAGGAGAAGACAAATTCGAATTAATAACGCAATCGACCACAAGCCCAGCTCGAAAATCAAAAACAACAAACACAAAATACCTGAATCTAAACAAAATTTCAAACCAAAAAAAGAAGCCCAAGTGAAAATCTAACGATATTTCTGTTTTCGTTCATTTTTTTTAAATCTAACCCACCTCATGAACAAAAGCCTCGAGCTCCGGTTTGTTGAGGTCCGAGCGCAGGGCTTCTGTAATCTCCTTTTCATGGCGATCGGTTATCTCGAGAAGGGATTTCAGCTGCGAAGCCCGCCACTCGTAAGCTCTCGTCTTGCCGGCGGCGTAGACCGATCTCAAATCCTCCGCCACGGTCACCACGCCCGTCGCCATAATTCGAGTTTTTCTACACGGGAAAAAGAAAAAGAAAATTTTGACCGGAAAAAGGGGATTTAGTTGGTGAATTTTACAGCGATTTTCAGAGGAGAAAGTTTTGCGATTATCTTTAGCCTGGGTTTTTGGCTACGAGTCTTTGTGTGGCTGTGTGGAAACTGAAAAGGTGGTGGGATTAAGTTTTGAAAAATGTTCACTTCAGTTTTTATTCTTGGTAGGTCCGATTATATACATACTAATATTTCTCTGTTTTTTGGCTGGTTTCGTGCCGTGGTCAGACAATGAAGATAGGAAAAAATGAAGAAAAATATTTATTAAGAAAAAGTTTAGTTTGGGAATATTTTTTTGAAATATTGTTTTAATTAATATTTTGGTAGGTTTATGATACTTTATTGTGTCTCCACTTGCCTCTGCATGAGTAAAAAAATATCTATAAAAAATCTATGACAATTGTTTTTATTTTTCCACTCTTTTACTATTACATTTTGCATTAGTTCAATAATTATATTTTTTATTTATTTTATTACATAATAGATTTTACTAATTAATCACAATGTCACATCAAATAATACTTTATTATAAAACATTTTTCAAACTATTTTTATAAGATTATCATTCGTTGTTTTAGCTCATTAAGTAATCTTTCTATTAAGAATTTTTAATATTTTTTATGGCATAACCAACCTCGTAAAATTATGTACATAATTGCTAGAAGAATAATTTCTATATTAATTTATCTAATTAAATGGTCATAATCACTCAAAATTGCAAAAATATTACAATGTTGAAATTAATCTAAAGTTTAATATGTAAGTTAAATAGTTTATATTTATATCATTCAATTTTACTAATAACAAAATTTATAAATGTGATATTCTCATTATCGAACTTATAATTTTAGATATTACATACACAAATATATAACATATAAAATTTTATTTACATCAATGTATGTGCACATGATCGAATACTAGTTATAAGCACACGAATAAAGCTTACATAATCTGTAAAATAAAGTCCGCTTAAGAAATATTTATCAGAATTTTAAAATCCATCAAATTCACAAAGTTGAAAAAAAAATAAAGAAACAGGGTGGGACGTTATAAAAATCAATCTCGTTTTACTACATAGGGCACAAATTTATATATCCACCTTCCTTATATGTTCATNGTAAAAAAAAAAGTCACGTGTAAACGTTTTCGGAGATATAAAAATCAATCTCGTTCTATACAATAAGCTCAATTTATTTCTCGCCTTTTTGATATGTTCATCAATTGATGTGATTAAATATTTACATACAATACACGCGGTGTGAAAGATACAAGTAAAAAAAAAAGTCATGTGTAAACATTTTCGGAGATATAAAAATCAATCTCGTTCTATACAATGGGCTCAAATTTATATCTCGCCTTCTTGATATGTTCATCAGTTGATGTGATTAAATATTTAAATACAACACACACGGTGAGGAAGATATATTAATATGTTATTCAATTAATGTGATCCAAAATTGATTAATTGGATAATTAATATGTGAATTATGATATGGGCATGTATTCTAGAAATTGATGAGATAGGAATATATCCTTTTATTGATGTAACGTTTCATGTCCCAACTTTGTCCAAGTTGCACAAGCACAACCCATACAAATTTTAATAAAAACATTTCACATTGTGGTTGGTTTTCAAAATTATGTGACAAGCAACATAATTTTAATGAAAATTAGGCCAACCCATTGTGGTTTGGTATGACTATAAATTAGGAGATTTTTTTTTTTATTCTTCTTTATATTTATTACGAAAAGGACTATTAATTTGATCTATTACTAAGCCCGTGAAATGCCAATATTGATTAGTCCTAAGGTAGGACCAATTTCGTCTCTATTGTTGTTTTTTAGTTGACGTTAATATAGCATACATCCATTTTATTAATGTTTATAACGCCTCTTATTTCAAAAATTATGTTTTAATTTTAATTTCCAAACAGTAGAAAAATACAAAGTGATTACTATATGAAGTCCCATGTTTCAAATTTGTGTTTCAAATTATATTTCACAGAGCAAATAACATGTTCATAATAATGTTGTTGTTATACATGCATGTGTCTTTTTAATGTTATAAAAAATGAGCATTTTAAATATAAATGTTCTTTTTACATATTTGTTTGAGAGAAAATGGTTTCATGCAGTAATTAGTTATTATCCTACGTAGAAACGGCACACCTTTTTATAATTCAAGAGTAAAAACTATTATAAAAACTACCTAAAAGTTTGGCTTTGATGTCATCTAATAATATAATATAGTACTACTTATTTTCTCATAACACTAGCTAGAAAAAACTCAAAACTTATTATAAACGTAAATTGCACGACAACACCCAAAAAAAAGTAGTTGTTTTACAAATGTCATTACAGAAATATATAATGGCGAAACTGTCAATTGTCATTAGTTCCGAATATGCCAGCAAAATGTAAGATAATGTTTTGGATTTTGCAATTTATAATAATTTTTTTTAAATAAAATATAACGAGAACTTTATAAATCATAATTTGCAATTTTGTTTTCATCTTGATCATACATGCGTCATTTTTCTTGGGTGATTGTACAATTAAAATTTACGAAAGGTGAAATATTACGATGTGAAGTTCAGATTTATTTATATCGTACTAAAAAATACTATATGTTATAAAATTCAAAAACACATATTGGTATTCCTTATATAAAAGTCGTATATAAAAGTAACCTTATATATCTCCATCAGGCAATGTAGCACATTTAGTTAAAAGATTGGATACGATATATAGTCACGCCTTTTAAGTTAGCTTAAAGTTTGCATCAAAATCGTGCACGATTATAGCAAAACGCAAAGAAAGCGTGCTAACTAAAATAATTATAGCCAAATTCCTGGAGTTCATTAATGTTGGGCGGTTTTTAGTTAGGAACATAACAATATATNTTTTTTTTTTTTTGTCGACTGGGTGGTATCCCCACATTCATCCGAGGGTCTCACCACGAACTCCTAGTCCCCCCTCGGGGTACGGGCCTAACAGGCTACGGGATCCACGCCCCAGAGAGGCGGGACTAATCCACCCAGGAGGAGCAGGGTGCCCCATCCCCACTCCCCACGGTAGTAGGGATCGATCCCCCAACCTCTGCCTTCAACATGACTTTATCACTCCAGCAGGTGCCAGTGGACCTCACGCCCCTGGGGCATAACAATATTTGGTGCAACAAATCTTACTCGTTTTTTCAATGATTTGGGTCAAACTGGCTCGTCATTCAATGTGATTTAGTTCAACTGTTTAAGGTCTGGCAAGACCACTACTGATCTCGATTTTCAATTCAATTAATTCTCTATATAATATATAATTGGTTTTTTATTAAATAATCCAAACACCAAAATTTATAGTCATGGTACTTATTCAAGATTCAAGCCTAATCAAATTATATATACATAAGTTTATAAGACTCTTGTCAAGATAGTGAAACCTAACGAACCAAGTAGAGCCTATGCTTTGAAGCTCCACGAGAGATTAGCTCACCTCAAGCTCGCTAATCTTAAAACTGTTAAACAAACCAAACCACTCGTGGGATTAGTGCAACTTGATTCATTAAGCATTGAGTTCAACTCGACTGATTTGAAAAACGAGCTGAGCTCAAGGCTTATTAGACTTGAAAAATAGAATTTTTACACAATTTCCTGAACTATATTAACTTAGTTCAGCTTGTTAAGACTCAAATTTGACTCGTTTATAGCTCTTAACTAATCTATACAAATTCAACCTAAACTCCAAATTTAAACCCGATAAAACTCATTTGTTATCAAGAGTCCTTTACTCACCAAAATAATGTAAATATATATGAGAACCAAGTCGATTGAGTCCACTGTATGGAAAACATACCTACAGAATCATAGCCATCCAACAAATTTAGGCCTAACCAATCGGTAATATAAAATTCATATATAACATAACATTCGTGTGTGTGTGTCAGTGTGTGTGTGTGTGTGTATGTATACTTCCAACTTCCAAGTGTACACTAACAGACCTACTGGTGTAATAAAATCATTCACCAATAACCAATCAAACCACGAGCAATTCCTAGTATATCGCGATTCAAAAGTGCCTTCAAAAGGTTTAGCTTCTGGGGGGTGTACGGAGGGTACCTCATGTCTGTATCACCATTGAATTCGCATTTCAAAACGGCTTTTTTGTGGCTGAAAGTGTCGAACGAAAATTTGCCATGGTATGATCCCATCCCACTTTCCCCGACCCCTCCAAATGGTAGCCCGTGCTCTACAGTCTGCACAAACAAGTTCGAGAATTACAAAAATGGCAAAATCACACCCCACAAAAGTTATATAATTATGTTATAAGCTTTGTAACCATATAACGGTAGGAAAAAAAAAAAAGACTTACATGCACAACTGTCTCATTAATGACCACAGCCCCAGCCGAGATGCTTCTTACGAAATCTTCCTTGAGTCGTTTGTTGTTTGTAAATATATATGCAGCGAGAGGTTTTCCTCTGGAATTAATCAGGTGCAAGCTGTCCTCGATTTTGTCAACCTTCGCATTGAAAATTTTAAGATGAAATATCCATTTTGCTATTTGTCTTTACAGAATGATGGGTTAAGTCTAAAATTGCTTCTTAACTTTTGAGTCTTTTAATATATGCATTCTGATGACCAAGTAATCAGTATTCTGCAATATAAAGCTGGTTGGTACTAGAATCTACTAGAAGAAGTTCATTTAGTTTTAACTTTTACCGTGACAATTGGAAGTAAAGGACCGAAAATCTCCTCATTCATGATAAGGGAATCTTGTGGGACATCCAATATAATTGTGGGAGCAATCTTGCTATAAAAAAGCAGAAAAGGTATAAATAGACAACATGAATGTGTCTAATCTGCTAAGAAAAAAAGAAATGCAAACATCGTTTTGACTTAATAGTTAATACTCACAGATTGACTTTATCCCGCTGACCTCCAACAACTACTTTACCAGAAACCTTCCTGTCATCCATTAACTTTGTCAAGCGGTCAAAATGGCGGGAATTTATAATGCTCGACAAGTCGCTTGATTGCAGAGGATCCTTTCCATAAAAATTCTCCAGCTCGAATGAAATAGCATCCACCTTATATGATATAATTTAATAAAATAAATAAATATTTCAAATGGTAATGCATAATATAATCCCTCAAATCCAATGCAATTGCTTACCAATGTTGAGGCAAACTCTTTTGTAGTCACAATATAATCAGGTGAAACACAAGTTTGTCCGCTGTTACTTCCCCACTTGCCAGAGATTATTCGTTTTGCTGCAACCTTTAGAAAGCATAACAACAATTATTCATTGATGTGGGTTGTTCGGAGAAAAACCCAAACCTCAAGCACGTATTGCAACTTTGAGGCATAATTGAGTTTTTGGGTAACCAACCAAACCTTAGGGGGAACATTTTAATTTTCTGTAACTGGTAAATCCATGCTTGTTGTGGAACACATAAAAGAAATGGTTTCAGTTTCGCGCAACTGCAACAATTACAAAGACTTACTTTTAAGTTGATATCTGAATCAACAACTAAAGGACATTTCCCTCCAAGCTCTAAAACCACCGGTGTGCAATGCTTAGCAGCAGCAGCTAATATAATGCGTCCCACATTGAGACTCCCTGCAGTACAGTTAACATCCCAACATAAACCAAGCTGATCGTATAATAATTGAAATAAGGAGTAAATACAAAATCCGCCTCTGTGGTTTGGGGAATTCTAAAGAAGTCCCAGAAACATCTCGTAATTAACAAAATAAAGCCTCAAAATCTAATTTCATCTTACATTTCCCCTTATAAACAAAAGACATTTAAAGAACCCCTTAACATTCACAAATACACTAATTTTTGTCGTTATCCGTATAAATAAATCTCGAGTTTGTTCTTTACCTGTGTAAAATATTTTATCCCATTTTTGTTCCAGCAAGGAAGTTGTCTCGGGCACACCGCCTTCAACGACCTTCACTGCTGAGGTGTCCATATATTCCCCGAGAAGCTTTGATAGAACTGAGGAAGTTGCAGGGGCAACTTCAGATGGTTTCAAAAGTAAGGTATTCCCAGCTGCAATAGCTCCAACAACTGGTTCGAGTGACAACGCTTTGGCAGGNNTAGAAAAATTAACCACATTGAAGCCCACATTTTCGTATGTTCACCACGTTTCTGTAAAATTACAAGACAAATTCAATGAATTTTTTTGCAAACATTTTGTTTTTCTCCGGTTAGTTTACATTGGACAGTTTGCTTCTTTATGTTAATCTGAAGGTGTCTCAATTTATAGTTCCAAGAATGCTTGCAAAAGCTTATTATGCCTTTGTGACATGTAACTTATATATGCAGAAACAAGTAAGAAGAAATAAAAACGCGCACGAATGGCATTAATAAACAGAATCAACGTACCAAAGGGATAGTTCCAAGTTGATATGATCAAAACGGCCCCCAAAGGCTCCGACACTATTTCAGCTGATGATGAAGAGCTAACAATCTCTGTTTTCACCTGCAACCACAAGAATCTAACGATGGATTAATCATTTTTTGCTTCCAATCCAGCTACCAAGAGACTGACAACAATTTGAGCTCATACATTAATAAACAAAATGGAGAACGAGAAAAGGAGAGATTACTCTTTCTGGAGTCATCCATCGATGTAATTCCTTCAAAGCCAACTTACATGATGATGATACTCCATAAATCTATTTGATAAGAACTCAAACATTAGCAACCAGAGTCCAAAAAACAGAAGACAATACCAAATTAACCCACAGGGGAATCTAATTAATGTGAAGTTTAATCGAGTGAAGGACTAAACATTCATATATATATGGCGCTAATTGATTTGAACCACACACCTCGTGCAGAAAAGCTTCTTGCTCTGGCTTATTGAGGTCGGCACGTAGAGCATGGATAATCTCTCTCTCATGCCGGGTGGTTATCGTGAGGAGCGCCTTCAACTGGGAGACCCTCCACTCGTAGCTCCTGGTCCTGCCTCCGGCGCACACCGTTCTCAGATCCTCCGCCGTCGAATCCAACGCCGGCACGGCCATTGGCTGAAATATCGAGACCGCCATGGATGGAAGTCTGCCGGTTTTTTTGGGTTTTGGGATAAGTGAAGCTATAAAAAAAAGGCCTAAAACGATTTTCTGCTTGCCTTCTGGTCGGGAAATTTACCAGAGAAAATGAAGCGGAGGTGAGAGTAGCTTCTGAAGTATAAATGCCGAGCGCCGACAATTTCGAATGGACAAGTATTGAGGGGAATTAGTTAAAAAATTTAGAAATGGTTGACAGTTTGGAAATTTTTTAATATTTCTTATTTTTTTTAGGGTTACCGTCGTCTTCACGTCGATTGAAACTCCGGTGTGGCTCTGCAGTTACTTTTTCTCTTTCGTTGACTCACTGCGCCTGTCCCGGCACGTCGTTGACCAATACTACTCTATGAAATTTTTTTACTATTTGTACAATTTATGTTATTTAGTGGGTGATTGGATATGAATTCAACTGGTAAAAAATTGGTTATTTTTTAATTATAATTAAAATTAAAAAAAAATAGTATAATTAGTTGTTAGTGGATATATTGAAATAATATTTAAAATAAAATAATTAAAGTTGATTTGATGTACAAGTAAGAGAAAATGATTGGAAGTGATAGTTGGTTAAAATTATGTGAATAGATAAATAAAGAATTAAAGTTGATGTGATGTGTAAGAATGATTGGTTGATATTATTTAATTATATTGATAATATTGGAGATGGTGGAGTTGAATTAAAGTTAAATTAAATTTAAGTTTTAATTAATTTTTTTACTGTACAATTTGTATACAATCGCTCCCTTAATAACTAAAAATAGAGAGCATGAGAGCTCAACTGCGTGAAAAATGAGTTGGTAAACCAACTCAATTTTTTAATATTATCAACGAACCGAACTTAAGCCTCCACGAATCAAGTTATGAAAAATTAGACATAAACCCATATTCAAGTGTTACGCAGTAACCCCTCATGATAATCTATTTAAGTAGCAAACAAATGTCGTCCCACAAAAATGAAACATT